GGACACTACAGTTTCAATACTGACTTAAGACCAAAAGAACTGGGCGTTAAATTTACCTTAGCTTAAGAGTAAAATATCCGATAATTCACATAAAAAATGAGCAACAGAATTCAAACCTATTCAATAATGGAAAGAGAGACTTACGCATTCAGGGATTCAGGAGAGCAGTAAAGACAGTCCAAATCCTGGTTATTATGATAGGAAAGACATACTTTCTTTTCATCAGGTTCATCACATTCAAAGTTTGATGTCTGGTTCCTAGGTGGCGCTGACCTGAACACATCCCCGAGGAACCATGAAGAAACAATTTGCTCTCCTTTAACTACTTAGAAGGATAATTACACATAAGAACTTTTCTCACGCACGTCTCCGCTTGCAGGCACTTTCTGGTTAGGGAATAAATTATTTTGTTTGTTGTTTTCCCTTTCAATCCCCTTTACTAATGTCCTGTATTCAGAAGCTCTCATTCTAATATTGTCTTGTCATCTGAAATCTCACATGTCCCCTCCCTCACCTGCGGTGCTTCTCTCCAAGCGAACAACTCTATATGGTATTTCAGACTTAGTACTCTATGTTCGCTAACACCCAAAGATAAACATCGAGAAACGAAGAGGAACGACCAGGAGCTGTGATTTGACCCCTGAAACCACATATAGGTGAGTACGTATAGGTGAGTACCAGGTCCAGTCATCTAGGTTCGTCTCTTATTCCTCCTCCATTCTCTCTGTCTTGTTGTGTCCTTGATATGTTGACAAAAAGTTTCCCACCAGCTATTCCAGTATTTTAACCTTGACTCATGTCTGGTACTCCATGTGAGTCTCAGTTCTTCTGGTTTATTTTTATGGTTGTAATGTGCCATGAGTAGTATTTATTATAGCCAAAACTAAGCATTAAGCCAACAAAGGTCATACCGCTCTGGCCATGGGTAGTAGCTTTGCTTTGGCCATGTGGGCTCTTCTTTTTTCCGTTCTCTTTGTTCTGTGGTTGTCTTTGCACTCTGTCTTGATTTCCTGGTGACTGGAGATGCGTTGTACTGTAGATCAATGCTGCTTCTACCTTGTGCCCTCCTGTCTGCTTGTGCCTACTATGTAATCATATGATTAACCACTGTACATCCATCATGTCTTGTGAATACTCCATTGGTTTCTGATTACCTATGTCTTGCTTTCCATACCACGGTTTTTTCTTGCTTTCGTACGTACATAGTTCCCTGCAGGAAAAATTGCACGTAGGAATGTGAAATTTATACATTGCATCAGTTTTCATTAGAGAACCTATGCCCCTATTTAGGTTAAAACGTTTAATAAAAAAGATGATGGCTGTGATGTCAAGGACGGCTTATATTATTCCTTCTTTTAATTCACAAATTTTGTTTTTGCATTTCTTCTGTTACTGTGTGCCATTCAGCAAGCAGGTCCTCGCTTTCTCTCTCTTGCTCTTGGGTCCAAGAGAGGAGGGATGTAGCTGCGGGGAAGGTATGTTTGAGGTGATGTACACTAGGGTGAGTGACGTTGTCAAGTGATTTTTTCTCGAAGCTGGTATTTGCGTAGGTAAATGGGAAAGGGGTCAGGGTTGAGTGTGTTTATGTCTTTCTGTGTTTTTAAATTCTGGTACATCACCCTGTCAAGACACGAATTTATTCTGTCAGTTGTGTTTATCTACCTTTTGTTTATTGAGAGTTAGTTTCAAGAGTTAGTAGACGAGGTGTCGGGAAAACTTCCCCAGGATTTTCTTGGCTTATTACATATTTTTATTATATTTTCACGGTTTGAAATGTTAATATAATTTTACTCATGAAAGAAATTACAGTGCAATAATTTATATGGTAGAATATTATGGTACATTATATTTCACTACTGTAGGACTAATGACTGCTAAAATGTGAATTACTTTAATATGCATCAAATTTAATGTGCATCAAATTTTTATGCTGATATAAAAGAGAATTTTGAAAATTTTGCTAGTAGAAAATTTTGACACCATTACCTCATTATTAATGGTGATAACATGGGCTCTAAGTGAACGTGTGCGCAACCTGTTAAGTGAACGTGTGCGCAACGTGTTAAGTGAACGTGTGCGCAACCTGTTAGGTGAACGTGTGCGCAACCTGTTAAGTGAACGTGTGCGCAACGTGTTAAGTGAACGTGTGCGCAACGTGTTAAGTGAACGTGTGCGCAACGTGTTAAGTGAACGTGTGCGCAACGTGTTAAGTGAACGTGTGCGCAACTTGTTAAGTGAACGTGTGCGAAACCTGTTAAATAAACGTGTTCGCAACCTGTTAAGTGAACGTGTGCGCAACTTGTTAAGTGAACGTGTGCGAAACCTGTTAAATAAACGTGTGCGCAACCTGTTAAGTGAACGTGTGGGCAACCTGTTAAGTGAACGTGTGGGCAACCTGTTAAGTGAACGTGTGCGCAACCTGTTAAGTGAACATGTGCGCAACCTGTTAAGTGAACGTGTGGGCAACCTGTTAGGTGAACGTGTGCGCAACCTGTTAAGTGAACGTGTGCGCAACGTGTTAAGTGAACGTGTGCGCAACGTCTTAAGTGAACGTGTGCGCAACGTGTTAAGTGAACGTGTGCGCAACCTGTTAAGTGAACGTGTGCGCAACCTGTTAAGTGAACGTGTGCGCAACTTGTTAAGTGAACGTGTGCGAAACCTGTTAAATAAACGTGTGCGCAACCTGTTAAGTGAACGTGTGGGCAACCTGTTAAGTGAACGTGTGGGCAACCTGTTAGGTGAACGTGTGCGCAACCTGTTAAGTGAACATGTGCGCAACCTGTTAGGTGAAAGTGTGGGCAACCTGTTAGGTGAACGTGTGCGCAACCTGTTAAGTGAACGTGTGCGCAACCTGTTAGGTGAACGTGTGGGCAACCTGTTAGGTGAACGTGTGCGCAACCTGTTAAGTGAACGTGTGCGCAACCTGTTAAGTGAACGTGTGCGGACCCTGTTAAGTGAACGTGTGGGCAACCTGTTAGGTGAACGTGTGCGCAACCTGTTAAGTGAACGTGTGCGCAACCTGTTAGGTGAACGTGTGGGCAACGTGTTAGGTGAACGTGTGCGC